GGAATCTGGGCCCAAAACTTCTCAGCCCTTTTAAAGCATAAAAAAAAGATGAAAAACACTATTGCACCTGATGAGATTTGAACTCAGCCCTTCCAGGCAGAACTTGAACCCCTTGACCATTCTGCTATCCTTCTCTTTAGTGTTGAGGAGGTTCATTTTAATTAATATACCCATAAAATCAGAATTTGACCTTACATATACAGTGTAATTTTTCCGCGAGGGGTTCGGGTGAAACCCCTCGATTCCACGTAGCTCCGCCCCTGGGTTGTGGTATACTGGTGGTAGTGTTTCACCCTTAACCAGAGGTCACGGGTTCGAGCCCTGGGTATGGTCCCGAGCCCTGGGTATGGAGAAAATCTTGTTGGGAACGCCACCCCCGAATGAGCCCTGCAGAGCGCGATCTGGATTTAGTCGGAGCTCTAATTTTTTTTTTAATTAATGACCTATAAGAATTAAGAAATAGGATGTTGATGCTTGACGTAGCGGGTCAACCAAATAAATAGGGAAAAACCCTACGAAGGTTGTGGGAAGATGTTATTGATTTAATAGTAAAGACTCAGTCCAATATCCATTTAGGGTTACTAATTTTTTTTCAAAATAAATATTACATATTCTAATTGATATAAAAATATCAGAAATCACCATTTTGATAATTTCAGATATTTAACAAATATGTATGCTTTTGTTTTAAATGTTCTTAGCATTCCCGAGAGATAGATTGTTGTCATTATGTCAAAAGGAGCACGAACAACCTTAGAGTATGGTTTCATAGTTCAAAGGTTTTCAAGTCTTGACATTTGGGGGGACTCAAGTCTGAAGTGGAAAAGGAAGGGATTGGGTACTTAAAAGCTTTTTTGTAGCAAAATCTTTCTATCGGAATTTTTAAAAATAAAATTAAATTGTTTTCATGTTCGCTAGTCAAAATGTTCTCTAGGGAAAAATAAGCTTCATAAATAAAATTTCAAGTTCATGTCTCCTTCCATCCACCAACGCCCTCAACCCTCAATCCTTGATCATTCCGCTCCCTGCCACCCCTAAACCCTACTCCCCACCCATCCCATTTGTATAATATTTTTCATCAAAAATATTTCCTTCATTCTGAAGTCACTTTGTATCAAATATCCCTTCACTTTATATGTAATTTTCTATGTGTTATGTTAATTCTTGTACTATTACTATATATTCAACACATATATAGTTCTAAAATATTCCAACTATAACACAAGTATTTCTTACAAAGGGACCAAAAACATAAACATCTCAATTGATTAAACGTTAAATATGTTTTATCGAATATCATATGAACTAAATTAGAATTTATAATAATGGAAGGACTAAAGATATTATTATTCCTAAAAGGAAAGTCTAAGTCTTTGGTGACATCAAAAAGTAATTGAGACGTTGATGCTAAACTTATTAATAGGGCAAGAAAAATAATAAAGACATTCATATGAGTTTCCTAGAGAAAACGTAATTGATTCACATCGACACCTTTTCTTTTTTTTAAACATATTGTGGCCAAATGAGAAATCTTTTGCCAACTATACATGTCAAAAAGACCAAGTCCAATTTCTACAATTGAAGGGGACCAATGTACATCATCCATGGTAAAGTCTTGCAATAATTTTCACAAAAAAACATGAATTATGAAAAGCATTATTGCTATTTGTGTGTGGCCCATTATGTATTGGTGCTATTATATTGATTTGATAAAGAAATGAATTTGGCATAACTAAACCCTTAAAAACTAGTGAATAGAGTAAGGATTGTTCAAATTTTATAAAGATATATTCTCATTTTAAAATAGCTGATGTGAGAACGTAATATTTTCTACACGCTCAGTGAAGCGTAATAGTATAATTTGGAGGTCTAACATTGAATAAATCAAGAATTGGGATAAACAATACCTCTGATATCATAATAAGAAAATGAATTTATCTTCATTCTAACTCAGCTTCAAAATAGCTCATGAGGAAACAATTACCTAAGATCATAAAAAGAGGGGCTCCTTACATAATTATTCAACCACAAAAAAAAAAAAATCAACTAAAATGGTTGCTTGTATGGTATAAATAGTGTATAACTGTGTATATGATGTATAATTAGTATCAGAGATGTATATACTTTGTTTATACAATGCACCAATTTATCTTCTACAACAATATTTTTTTTTCAATTCCAACCAACTCAAATCTTCTCTAAACACCCCAAATTTTAGATATGAGCTCGACTCTATTGATATATTTCACTTAAATAGATGCATGTTTTTGAGAACATGGATTGCAACTTCATTTGAACATAATATTTGCAGCTTTTTATCACAAAGTTAAACGTTTGTATTTAGACATTATTAGATTAACTGTTCGAGAACAAATTTACAGTGGATGGTCTTTTGGAAAATCTACAGCTTAATAGAATATAGTTCAACTTAGCTATTCGCATGCACACTTAGTGGCCTTTCTTTTCTTATCTTTTATAGTACTTTAAATTTTCTTGACCACGTTATTCTTTTTTTCCACTTAGCTAAAATAAAGTTCCCAATTTTGTCAGTTGCCCAAAGTTCCCAATTTTGTCAAGTGGAACAAAGGTTGGTGGGGGTAGGGGTGGGGGTCGGGGCGAGAGGTGGGCATCAGGCGTGGAGGGTGAGGGCCGAGGGGCCTAGACAGGGAGTGAGGATGGGCAATGAGGTGTGTTAGAGAGTGACGACTGGCCAGGAAGCAATTATTACACTACTAGAAAATCGCTAATTTTTGTGAAGCAATACAAAAAATTTGACTCTGTACATTTTATGAACAACAGAGTGAAATGTGTATATTAAGTTACTATTGAGATGATAGTTCAATAAATAAACAACATATCATAGTGTAAAACTTTAAATAAGGTGTTATATGATTATAAACTTTTTGGAAACTTGTAAAAACACTACTAGAAAATTGCTAATTTTCGAGAGCAATTTTTGACGGATTATAAAATCATGGTGACTACCCTGTTCAATAATCATAAATTCCACAATTTCCGACAACATGAGGTATTGGAAATTTG